CCTCCCCGCGTGTCCCCAAGTGTCACTTTTGTCCCCTCCGAGTTGAATTTTCTGTCTTGTTTTTTTTTGGGAGGTGACACCGCCACCATTTCCCGTGTTGGGGGGAGGGAGGGGGGGAGGTGACACCGCTTCTTTGGCGACAATCCCGACCCCCCCATTTCTCCCCCCTCCCCTCTCAGGTGCCACCACCCGCTGTTGTCACCGTCGCTGTCCCCTTTTTGTCCCCGTTCCACCGTGGAGTCGCTGCGCGCTCTGTCCCAGCTGCACTCCCCTCCGCGCGGGGCGGGGGGAGGTGGCGGCGGTGGCGACCTGGGCGGCTCCGGTGGCGACCACGGTGGCGATCCCTGCCCGCCCATGGCCCGCACGGTGTGGGATGAAGAGGAATGYTTGGATTATTACGGAATGCTGTCCCTGCACCGCCTGTTCGAGGTGTTGGGCGCTCAGCTGACCGCCAGCGAGGTGGCCGTGCTGGCCGTGCTGCTGGACGAGGCTCCGGCCGCGCTTCACCCGCTGGACCCCGCGCTCTGGGCCGGGGATGGGGACGGGAACGGGGACGGGGACGGGGATGGTGTGTCCCCGGTTCTGCTGGAGCGCTGGAGCCGCCGCCGCTGCCGCCGCGATCCCCGGGCGGGGTCGGGASCGCCCCGGAACGGGCTGGAGCTGCTGCTGGAGATGGAGAGGAGGGGACTGTGCCATGAGGGGGATCTGGGACAGCTCCGGCGGCTGCTGCGGATGGTGAGCAGACAGGATCTGCTGAGGTGTGTGAGCCTGAAGAGACCAAGGCCAGGTTAGTGTCACTGTGTGTCACTGTGTGTGTGTCATTGTCACTGTGTGTGTGTCACTGTGTCATTGTCACTGTGTGTGTGTCACTGTCACTGTGTGTGTGTGAGCAGGCAGGATCTGCTGAGGTGTGTGAGCCTGAAGAGACCCCGGCCAGGTTAGTGTCATTGTCACCGTGTGTCACTGTGTGTCATTGTCACTGTCACTGTGTGTCACTGTCACTGTGTGTGTGTGTGAGCAGACAGGATCTGCTGAGGTGTGTCAGCTTGAAGAGACCAAGGCCAGGTCAGTGTCACTGTCACTGTGTGTGTCACTGTCACTGTATCTGTGTGTGTGTGTGTATGTCACTGTATGTGTGTGACTTGTCACCCCCAACAGACTCTGCTGGGCTGTGTCACCTCCCTGTCACCCACAGCCCCCTCCGTGCCCCCCCTGTGTCACCCACAGCCCCCTCTGTGTCATCCACAGTCCCCTCTGTGCCCTCACTGTGTCACCCATGGTCCCTGTCACCTCCCTGTGTCACCTCAAAGTTGCTCTGTCCTGCTCAGTGCCACCCCCTGTGTCACCCACAGCTCTTGTCACCCTTTTTGTCACGCTGGGGCTTGCTCAGTGTCACCCCCCCGT